ATGCTGTTCCCCCAAGAGGAGTAAAAAAGGGCACATCTTCCAACTTTTGTGATAGAAAATGATGATCATAGCTATAATAATAATTACTATAATAATTATACTTACCACTTATTCATTTATTGTGTCCTTTCTATATAGGCCAAGCATTGTACTAAGTCCTTTACGTATATTATCTTATTTCATCTTTTCTTCAATTTTGTGAGGTAGGTATTATTACTCCATTAAAAGAAAAAAATCTCAAGGCTCAAAGAGGTTAATAACCAAAAGAGCCAAGATTCAAACGCACTCGCTTATTCACTACTCTACTCTGCCTTATGTGAGGCACTAAAATACTTAGCCTTGTTAATACTTAACCCAGGCTCCCCAGATGCTAAAAATTTATGATAATTACATAATTAGAATTTCAAATTTAGGGCAGTGACTGAGAATTATTATACTTCATTATGTGACCTTACAAAAGTATTTACTATAATAAATTTGCACTATCTTTTGAAGAAGTCTACAGTCTTCTTAAGCAGAGTCACACGTATTTAAACAGAAAAGTACGAATGAAACTGTATCCTCAACAAACAAGAAGATGATCAAATTAAATAATAGCTGCAAATACTGTCACTGGAAATATATATGCAAACACTAAGTGCCAGGCACAATTATAAGCATTTTACATATATTACTTAATTTAATCCTTACAGCAATTCTATGAAGTAGATACTATTAAAATTCCCATTTTACAGATGAGGAAACAAAGACAGAAGAAGTATAAATAACGGATTTTGAACAAGTTGATTAAACATCCAGGACAGGAAAAAGTCTTTACTAAGTGAAGAACACAGAATAAATGCAAATCCAAGAATCATTCTTCATTTTTAATTGAGAACAAGAACAACATAGAAGTTGTGCCTTGATTGAGGGACTTTAATGATCAATTTACAAATAAATTGTGTTTGTATATCCCAGATATGTGAACTTCACACCGCTGAGCCAAAGTCATCAAACCCTTTCACTTTGCTAAGATTGAGTCCTTATATGTTCAAGGTAATACAGACTGCACGCATGTTATCAACATTTGGTCTTATACCTCTACCACACTTTTCTGTACTCGTGGAATTGTTTTATAACACTCATCACCTAGGTTTCATAATCTATTTCATCAGTGCTTGTTCTTATTTTTCTTATAAAATCTAACAAATGGGTTGTGATGCCTTCACTTATGGAATTAGTGATACCCAATTAGTCATCTGACTACTCCAGACTTAATCTTCCTCTTACTTCTCTTTAAATAAATCAGTACCTGCTTGTGCTCTGAATGAGATTGGGTGAAGAGAAACCTGGCCATCCTTTATCATAGAGAGCCAATAGTTTCAAACATCCCCAAAGTGATCTTGAATCAGTGAGATCCAGCTCCTGCCTTTGGTAATTCTTAACTGGAACACTTTATCCCAATAATATGAGACATAGCCTGAGTGATGCTTAAGTTCACCGTTTAAAAATGAAATTAAAAAGATTTTTAAAAATTAGCTAATAGCCCTTCTCTATTTTCCTAGAAGTTGTGCTAGCTTTAATATACATGTTCCAGAAGTATAAATACTAAATACCTACTAAAATCCAGGCCTTGTGCTAGGTGCTGGGGATACAGAGATAATTAAGACATACTCCCAAGGAACTGAACCAGACAGGGCACCAAAGCCAGTCAGCTAACTGTCATCTTGAAATTGTGGATTCTGTGTCATAACTTATCACTCACATTCTGCCCTAGCCTTTCTCGTGCTTGGCATGAATTTTCCTTTCCTCAGCCCCGACCTCTCCTCTCCTATTCTATTCTTCTACCGCAGGACAACAAAGGTCATTTGGAATGCGAGTAAAACTTAGCTGTAACCAAAGATGCAAAGATCAAAGTTGGCAGCTACATGAAGTTCAGGATTAAGAGACTTCCTCTTTAAGATCAAAATTCCAGATGATCCAAATATAGGCAAATGAGTCCCAGTAGAACACTCCGTTTTCTGTGCTGAATCCAGGAACGAAGCAGAAATCACCATAGAACTGCGTTTCACCCCGTTTTACCCGTGGTCTTGATGCTAATTGCCTAACCCCAACAGTGAGATCGCGTTTCAAAATATGGTCAAACACAAAACAGCCAAGTCAATCAAGCATTAAGTATTCAAGCACAATTATCCCAACACATGCCCAAGTACCAGCAGTGAAGCAGCCTCATTTGGGAGCAGCTCCATAATCACCTCTCCGGTCAGCCGAGACTTTAACCTCTCCCCTCGGGGCCTCCTGTTGGGGACGCCGGGCTGGCTCCCAGGGTGTGAGAGATCACAGAGCCAGCGGCGCCCCCCGTTACCGGGCCTCATTTAAATGCGTGCTCCAGGCGGGGGAGAGGCGGGGCAGAAGGTCCGCAGAAGTTCCCATTGTTGGGGAGAGACGCGTGGAAGCAGATGGTGCAGCCGGTCGGTCTGGCTGTCAGACGCTTTCTGTCAAGTTCTCTGGGGACTCCGGGGCTTTCTTTCCACTCTCCGCTCGCTCAGGTCGTGTGTGTTTTCTCAGGGTGGGCGAGGGGTCCCTTTCTTTATCGCCCCTCACATTTCCAGGAGGCCCACTGGCCTCCTCCTTCCCCCCATTCCTTCCTTCTGCTTTCTCTGCTTTTTCTGGACCAGCTAGTTCTAAGCCTCCAAGGACCCACTCGATGCAGAGAAAAGCAAGCGAGCGATTTCCTTTGTCTCCAACTGATGCCGCGCTCTCATCCAGCGGGCTTCCGACTGGCATGCTCACTCAGTTATTTAACAAATTACTCCACGGTCCTCGTTTGGGCTGATTGACATTTACAGCTAACCAACCCCTACAGTTAGGGGCGATGTGGTAACTGACTTTCATAGTCTTCCTTCTTCCTTTCAGTCCTGCAATGGGGTGAGCAGACAGACCTGGTGCTTTGGTTTGACCTGATGCTCACCTTACATAACATTGTCAGGGTCTAAAAAAGTAAATAAAGCATGGGTTACAGATGCAACCTTTACATGCATCCGTAAGGGACAAACAGGAGCTTGTGTATATATAACTCTTGTCTCTAAAGTATTAGCTGTTGAACGCAAATCTTGGCCTCAATGCTCCCTTTTAAGATTCCACATAGCTTATGCCAAGGCAGCTCTTCCTTGCAGTTCTCAGTTAAGATTTCCTCCAGTTTAGGATGTTAAATTTGTTTTCGTTTTTAAACCATACTGGCAGCCCCGTGCTCGTTAATGGTATCTCTGTGAACTGGACAAAGTCAACGTAAGTCCAGAAGACTGCTGTCTGGGATTGAGTGGCAAAATAAAGTCAGAAATACCATTTATTCCCCCTCATCTGCCTGGGATTAATCTTTTCCTCCCCGGGGCTATTCTCTAGACTTAAATGATGTAATGTTTCATTTTGCACTCATCAATAGAATTTCCGTTTCACATTTATCTCCCCTTCTCCCTCAAATTGTGAAACCTGTGAAAAGAGAGCTTATAGTATTCATATTTACCAGTTGAGGATTCAATATTTTTCCCTGGTACTACATACAAGCAGTGCAGTAAATGTTGAATAAATGAATGAATAAAAGAAATTAACAAATGGTAGAAATAAACAAAAGGGAATATGAAAAATACAAAAGAGTGTCTAAACTAAATGTCAATCATTTCTTCCATACCCCAACTACTCCAGATATTCCAGTATGCCACAGTAAAAACCACATTTTACTTGGAAGTAAAATGGCTGTGAGGAATTAGAAAGAAAACCTGAAATCACTAAATACTCATGGCCCAAACTATCCAAGAACACTAAGTGTCCAAGTGCTAACATCCCAAGGAGACAGGCCCACCAACTGGCAATCTGCACAAGTAGGTCTGCAAGAAGTACCATGGATACACCTGTGGGAGATGGGATAGGAGCTTAGCATGGCCTCTGGACCCCACCCAGTCCCCTGTGTGAGCCCTCTGAAGACAGGGGCTGCAATGCAGAAGCAGAAGTTGTGGATTCACTACGTGTAGTGCTGTCTTAGTGCCCAAGATACAAAATGTGTCCATCTCCCCACTGAATAGCAACTGCCACAGGCCCTTGAGGATTTACACTTTCGGAGCATCTGCAGATGGCATCCTTGGCACTGATATCAAACATTGTCCATGGGTACCTGGAGCAGCAAGACACCATCAAGTGGCTTCCAGACATCAACGGAGATGAGGATCTGGAGAGAAAAGGGAGAAATGGATGCATCCATTGTGGGAGAGAATACTGCTGCGAACACTCCCAAGGAAAGAAAAAGACTGATTGAAAATTTGAAGCCTATGTACCCTACTTTAGCAGAGAGAGGTAGAAGCTAGGACGTATTGATTATGCACACTTAACACATATTTTTCTTTTTATTGCATGGAGACATAAGCACCAGGAAATCCATCTTGCACATATAACAATGAACCCTCCAAGTTGAAGTTGTAAAACACTCTGCTTAGGGACGAGTATCTCTTTAGTTTGTGTTTTATCATTTTTCTAAGAAAATCTTCTCTAATCCATTCAGTCTGCTATTTTGTACCTTAAAAATAGGTTACTGTTTGCACAAGAATCAGTAAAATAGGATTGGCAAATGCATGATAGGCACACTGCCATCATCCCTTCCCATATCCATTACAGACATTGCTAATCAATCAAGGCCTTGATTGCAGCCTTAGAATCCTGATAAAGCACAATATACCAGCAGCCTCCCTATCAAGGAATCTATACTGGTATTTGATGTTGCTCGTAGTTGTCACCTTCACTTTAAAGAAAATAATCATATATTCCGAAGATTAAAACATAGGAAATGAGCTTCATTGCTCAAGAGGTTCTGAGAAGACCCCATGATGCAGCCTTTACTATTAAAAGGGCATTGTCTACCATTGCTGGTTTCCACAATCCATATAATATAGCCTGTGAGATTAGGGTAGGGGCCATCATGCAAGGAAGAGCTTACTCAGGTAGCAACTTGGTAAACTTGCACTTGCCTTAGTATATGTCTCTGTGGCACTGGTGAGTATTCGTTTGCATTGGAGAAACTGAGGAAGTCCACAACACTTTCCAAGGAGGTGGTTTCTCAGGGTTAGCAGGCCCCAGGATAGGAATAGGAGGTTCATTCTCTCTGGCCATCTCTTCCTCGAAGTGATGAGGCAGAGCATTGGGGCTCGTTTCCTTTCTCCTGGGACATGACCTTTTCAACATATGAAGGTCCTCAGTCAATACGCTCATACACTGAGGCCATCACAGAAACAGGAAAATATCACAACACAAAGAATGCCTCAGGCCAGGAGCATCTTCTCAGGCTTCTCTTCTCACTGCCTAGAATAAGAAATTTGAAGAGCAAGTTGCTTGTTTTGTGCTTTTTGTTTTAGCTCTCGAATGTTACGTGTTTTGCATATACAAATTACCTCATGTGATCGCCACAACCAACCTATGAATCATCCCCATTCTTAAATGAGTACATGAAGACCCAATGGGATTAAAGTGCCCACAGTCACAGAGCCTGAAGCGGCCAGATCAGTATTCAGATCAGGTCTGTCACAGCAAAGCCAATGTTCTCTCCCCACACACTGGAAGTCCACCTCAGTGTGCACCTACCTGTGCACCCAGAATACTTTTAGGACCATGTATGCCCCTTCCTTCCCTCTCTCTGGACTGAAGTTTCAAGGGCCTTCTTTATCGCTGGCCCACCCTGACTGCTTTGTGTGCCATGTCTGGGTCCGGTAATATTACAAACCACAGAGAAGGCCCATCCCTATAGTTTCACTCTCTGCAACACAAAAGAATTCAAGGGAATCTTCTCTGAGGTTTTATTCCCTGATCCAGGGAATATCTAACCAGGCTATTAAAAGCCTCTTGTGGGGTCTACCTCTGGTTGTTTTCAACCAGAAGTAGATACGATTTCATGAACACATGTTACTGATAGGCTGTTGGTTGGTGGGAGTAGGAGACAGTGAAATGGAAATAAGGTCACTGTCTGAGATTTCAACTCTTCAATCAACAAATGCACTCTGGGGTGATACTAACAATATTTAATAGCAGGTATGAAACAGGTATCAGCCAATGAGAATGAGCAGATCCTGGAAGCTCCCCTGCTGTGCCAGACATCATGAACCTGTAGACTGCTGAACTGCAGGGACATGTGGTAGGATGGTGGGGTGCAATGGGAGGACTCAGGGCAATGACTGTCCCCACTAGTAAGAAAGTTTTCAAATATTTTAAAAACTGGTAGGGCCATGAAGGTGGTACAGCAGTGGAACATCAGCCCTGGATATGCTCCCAATAACGTGACTGGCCTACAGCCTGATGGAATGTTTTAACACTCAGGAAGAGTGTGTTGATCAGAAGAGGGAGGCGGTTAGTCACAGAGGCAAATGCCAACATCCACATCCATCCTGATGCTGATCCAGAAGAGATTTTGATCCACTCAGCAGGACTAGTCAGTGGTGGAGAGCGACCCAGCTTGCTCTCTGAGCCTACATCCATTAAACATTCAAGCTACATAACTAATCCCCTCATTCTATTTCCATATTTATTTTTATTTATTTATTTATTTGCAGTACGCGGGCCTCTCACTGCTGTGGCCTCTCCCGTTGCGGAGCACAGGCTCCGGACGCGCAGGCTCAGCAGCCATGGCTCATGGGTCCCGTCGCTCCACGGCATGTGGGATCTTTCCCGGACCGGGGCACGAACCGTTATCCCCTGCATCGGCAGGTGGACTCTCAACCACTGCGCCACCAGGGAAGCCCCATATTTATTTTAAAATTTATTTTGTTTGAACTCCTGTGCTGCTTTTGCTCTGTGAAACAGTGAAGATGAAACCATTTTTAGACGGTCAAGTGCATGTTGAGCTAAGGTAGAGGAAGTAGTAGAAGTTTGTACCATCACTGCTTTCAGCACCCTTCCCCTGATCAGGTTTAAGTCCCATAATTGACACAGATACTGGCCAGGAGTATATTCCTAGGAAAAGCTTGATTTCACCATGCCTCAGTATGTTTAACTTGATAAGTCTTGAAAGAACCATTGGAGTGATACCACTCAAGTTTTACATTAAATTTGAGTTATAAAGAAAAATTTAAAAAGACAAGTGGAATTATTTCCCAAGTATGGGTAATGTTGAAAATGTTACCAGGTTCAAGGAGGGTTTGATGAGTCCAAGGATGTCAAATATGAGCAGATTAGTGTCTTCTCAAGTCCTTTGAGATTTATGTGATAGAGAGATACTGTCTTTCAGAAAGATGGTGTTGTCAAAGGGGACTACCAGGCTGGTTGAAGGTTGAGAGTGCCAAACCCTAACCACTAGACACTCAGGGAACGCCCTGAAGGATGAATCTGACCCCTCTGATGATATCCTGTGGGACTACGGAAGTTAGCTGTAGTCAAAATGGCTAATAGGACCAACCCCACACCCGTGTCTAAACCTCCAACCTCTAAGTGTTCCAAACATGAAGGCTTTGAATACACGGATTGGGAGGCTTGCACCATCAATGAAAGAGCTGACCGAGCAGGACCCTGAGGGGCTCCTGGACACAAAAGTCTTTCTGTGTCCCCCACTTCTTTTTTTTTTTTTTTTGCGGTACGCGGGCCTCTCACCCTCGTGGCCTCTCCCGTTGCGGAGCAACAGGCTCCTGACGCGCAGGTCCAGCGGCCACGGCCCACGGGCCCAGGCTTTCCGCGGCACGTGGGATCCTCCTGGACCGGAGCACGAACCCGCGCCCCCCGCATCGGCAGACTCCCAACCACTGCACCACCAGGGAAACCCCCCCACTTCTTGATTACAGGAAATAGTCTTCATTCAGCCTCCATGACCTTGCCAGCGTTTCAGTGACCAGGTTCAAGCAGTTGCTAATTAGGGAAGGGAGTGGATACGGAGATGAGGGAGGAACAGTCAAGAGAAACAATAGTGCAGCCTTGGGGCAGGGTCCTGGCTCCTCCTCAAGGGATACACATAACAGTATCTTGGAGCTGTTTTGCAGATACTGAAACCCCACCAGGTGGGAGAAATTAACGGTATGCTGCCCACAAGCACACAGACCCCAGACCGGTTGGAACCAGAAGGCCGATGATGCTGACTCCTGATGACCTCACCACCAACCAATCAGAAGAATGTCCATGAGCTGATCACGCCCTCTTTGAACCATTACTATAAAACTTCTCACTACCCCCTCCAGGTTAGGACACACAGTTTCGAGGGCGTTAGCCCACTGTGGCCCCCCTTTGCCTGGCAAAGCAATAAAGCTATTCTTTTCTACTTCACCCAAAATTCTGTCCCCAAGATATAATTTGGTGTCGGGGTACAGAGGCCGGATTCGGCTTCAGGGCTGGGGCAGCAAAGTACACATAGGCCAGCACTGAAAATTTCTGCCTGCTGCAGTGAAACAGGTGGTTCCCAAGAAGCTGCTGCAAATGCCAAGAACCTCCAAGAAGCTGCCGCTGCCTTCATAGGCCGGCAACACTGAATCAAGGACTCAGAAACGGCCACACCAATGATCTCCACCGCCTAGAGCACAAAGCAAGTAATTCACAGGTTTGCCAGAAGACCCTGCAAGCCTTGAGTCTGCCATCTGTCCACACATCTGCCTAAACTGCCTCTGGAGTATAATGGCGTTTTTTTCTATCCACCTTCGAAATCTCACGTGAGTGACTCTCACTGGCAGACTCTAACTAGGAACTGCTTAGGGAAGGGGAGCCTGGGAAATAACGGTTCCCAGCTTCTCCTCTGTCAGACCTTAGATACAGATGGACGTGATTTTGAGCTAAAAACAGACATAACTCAGCACAACACAGTAGGTCATACTTGCTGAATAAATGAGCACATGAACTTGAACGTCCACCCCTGAATACTCTGAAGTGGCCACATCTTCATACAGCCTTTTTAGAAACTAGTCAGACACATTCTAAGGTTCTGGTGGCTGAGAGACAGAAACTTATTTGCAGACTTTCTAAGAGAGGGACCTCAGCTGATCCCTAAAACTCAATGGTTCCCAAATTATGAAAAAGAAGAACCTGGAAGAAATGATGCTCTTTGCAAAATGCCGTGCTCTGCCAAACCCCTTAAAATATCAGCACAGTGAACTCCATCAGATGAAGTACCAGTCATTTTACTAGGCGAAAAGTTCTATATGTAGACTGGGGACCCACATGTCCACAAAGAAACAAGCTGTCAAACCAAGCATGGTCAACTGTTTCAGAATTTTTCCATTAATATTTATTTGCTGCTCGTTCATTTCTTTGGTTGTCTGCTAGTGCTTGCTACCAGAAAAGTGGTAGCAGGCATCAAAGTTTAAGAATGAGTTTTGCGAGAAATTTTGGAGAAAATGATCTTCTTAAAAATGGCAGGTTTTTATCCTTCTGCAAATTTTGAAAGGATTCCCACTATTCTGAACTAACCCCAGACCACTCCAGCCCAGCGTTCCACTGGGCAGTTTGTTACCATGCAATGGATTTGGATCAACCACCTGAAAGAGTATTAAAGTGCTGGCCTAAAAAATTTTTTTAAATGCAAAGAAATGGTAATAACTTGCCACCCAATTACCCCAATAAACTGCTCCTACTAGAAACAACATTTAAAGGTGGGGATCGTTAAGGATTTTTCCAAGTCTCAGATTCCATGAACTGTGCGCATCTCTAGAAGTGCCATGCCAAAAAGTTCTTATAAGTGGCTCAAAATCATGGAAATGTGCTGAACTAAGTAGACAAATGTCACCAACCCTACACTAGAAACACAATGAGGGAAGTACAAAAGGGTCTTCTACCAGAAAAGCAGAAAAAGCATAGATATTGAGAGCTGAGAGAGGGAGAGAGAGGTAAAGAATACGTACACAAGCATGCAGTTCAAGGCCATGGCCTGGAGTTTAGACTTTGGACTTTCATCAGTTTCCTTGATTTAACTATTGGTTTTAAGGGAGAAATGAAGTAGAGCCCTCTCCTAAGAATCTGAAAACACACACAGGGGTGAGGAAGCCCTCCGGAAAATATGGGAATGGGACCTTGACTCTTCCCAATGTCAAATATATTTATTTTAAAACTTGTGTGATGGACTGTCTTGCTATAACCAAAACCAGATGATGAAAAGGACATCATGTGCCCTCAGAAAGGAAACTCTCCAGAGGACAGACTCTGGACTGTGTGACCCAGACCCAACAGGAGGGTCAAGTTCAGTGGAGTTACAGGCAAAGTATATGCAGTGGACACTGAAACCTGAACCACCTGTGATCCTGCCAGCCTGGTTCCATGGAAGATGTCTAGTCTTAGAATAAAATCTAAACTCCTTACCATGGCTGGCAAGATCCTAGGTGATTAGAACCACCAATCCAGGCTCCTAGCACATCCCTTCCTATTCTCTAAGCTCCAGCCACACTGGATTTCTCAGTGTTGCTCAAATGCACTGAACTTATTCCAGCCCCAGAGGCTTAACACCTGCTACTTCCTCAATTCTTGCCCAGATCTTCTGAAACAGAGACCTTTCCTAACACCCCATGTAAAAGAATTTCCATCACCCTAGCCAGCCACTCTCTTTCCCATCTCTCGCCTTTATTTTCTTCAGAGCACTCACCACCATCTGAAATTAAAGTATGTACGTACTATCTGCCTCTACCACTAGGACATAAACTCCATGTAAATGAGGATCTTATCTTTCTCAGTGATGACATAAATAAGTTGAAGGTATGTACCAACAAAAGAGAGGACTCTCGGAGCCACACATGCCTCCTCAACTATTTGTTCATTTATTCTTTCATTCATTTGAAAAAAATCTGCCCTGTGCCAGGCACCATTCTAGGTGCTGGGAGTAAAGCAATGAATATAACCCCTGTCCTCCTGGAGCTGACATTCTAGTATGCAGAGATGGCCAGTAAATAAATATGACAGTGTCACGTATACCATGAAGAAAAATAAAGCTGGGTATGAAAAATAGATGTTTAAGTTGGTATTTCATATGGGGTGTTCAGCAAAGACTTCTTTAGGGAAATGACACTTAAACCAGAGACCTAAAAGAAATGAGGAAGAGACTATGGGATACCAGACAAGAGTCAATATTGCTCCATGCAGAATAAATAGGAAGTGCAAAGACCCTGTGGTGGCAGTATGCTTGGTACCGTCAAGGAACATCAAGGGGCCAAGGTGGCTGAGGTAGGGTGCACAGCGGGGACAGAGATAGAAAATGATGCTGGATGATTAGTAGGGCCAGATCCACAGAGAGGAGCTGTGGAGGCTCATACTCAGGTCTTAGGGGAATCAAGCAGGCAAGTCCCTGGGAAGGTAGAACTTTGAGGTCTGGTCAATCTCAATTTCTCTGGGTCTTCCAGGATTTCAGCATGAACCTCATTACTCGATCACATGTCCACATTTATGGCAAGCAGCTTTGAAGGCTGCAGCAGCTTTTTATCCTCCTGGAAAGAGGCAGCAAATAAGCAAGGAGGAGAAGTCCTCTGTACAAGGGTGGCAACCCTGAGGGACCACAGGGAAATCTGGGGAAGAAAACAGCTGCAGGTAACAGCCTCTGTGATTCAGCTATTAAAGGAATTAAGGCCCTACTGTGACCTTGTTTAGGGAATCTCAGATTACTGAGAATCGGTTACTTGTGAAACATATGTCTGAATAGACCTGTATGTTCACTGTTGTGAGTGCCTATGTTAACACATGCTATGAAGCCTTACAGATATTCTCTGATGTCTCTCTCAGTGGGGACAAACGTGGAGTCACACCAAGTCCTTTATTTACATGGAGGAAACTAAGGCCCAGAGAACTGAAGTCACCTGGCTCAGTGTGCACGGTGTTTAGGAGTCCAGGTCTAGCTCTGCCTTTGACTTCCCCTGTCCCAGCTCCTTCAGGTCTCAGCCCTGGCCCCTGATCAACACACTCAGTCCACGCAGTCTGGCATAGGACACAGCCAGCCGAGGAAGAGAGAGACACGCAAGCGTAAGGGAGAACTCCTTGACCTGCCATGTCGGTGCCACTGAACCTAACAGGGGGCTGATTCAAGGCGAGCTTTTATTCCCTTGCTCTGCACCATGCTGCTACTTCCTTCCATGCTCTGAGGCTATTCCGGAACTTGCTGGCAGCACGGAATCCCAGAGAACAGAGATCCCATCAGTAGGCAAAGCAGAAATGAATATTTGCTTGAATTCTTCTCTCCCAAATTTAACCTTCGAAGCAGAGTCCAGCCTACCTGGCCCAAATCATCTGTGTGGCTGAGGGGTGCTCTGTGTGCATGTGTGTGTGTGTGTGTGTGTGTGTGTGTGTGTGTGTGTATCTGTGCGTGCACACAGACCTGCTAGCATCTGACTTCCACTTAGCATCAGCCGGTCTTCTCTGATGGTTCTAGTTCGGCCATGCCTGGGTGAGATGATTGGCCTAAGTAACGTGATCCTGCTCTCCTCCCTCTTCTCACAAAGGTTTAGTCACCTTAAATCTGGCTATCTTCAAGGACATGCTTGAAACAGAGGGGATGCAACTCAAGGCTTGCTAACATCCCTCCGCTTCCTCACACGCCCTTTAAACATCTCTAAGCTTCAATGTTCCTTCCTCTTCATTTTTCACTCTCCTATCCATTGTCTCTCCTTTCATGGTGTATTAGTCAGGGCATTCCAGAGAAACAGAACCAGTAGGAGATATATAGAAATATATAAACACACACACATATATACACACATATATATGTGTGAGTATTTCTCTCTCTCTACATATAGAAAACCGATACGATATATATAAATAAATACACATATGTATTTGTATTTCTCTCTTTCTCTCTCTCTCTCTCTCTCCACACACACACACACATACATACACACATATATATAGAAGAGAGAGATTTACTGTTAGGAATTGGCTCACGTGATTATGGAGGCCAAGAAGTCCCAGGTTCTGCTGTCTGCAAGGTGAAGACCTAGGAAAGACAGCGGAATAATTCAGTCCGAGTCTGAAGGCTTGAGAAGCAGGGTTGCGGATGATGTAACGCCCAGTCTGAGGCCAGAGGCCTGAGAAGCTGGATGGTGGGACGGGAGGAGAGTGGACAAGCAGCTGGTGTAAGTCACGGAGTCCGAAGGCCAGGAGCTCTCATGTCTGAGGGTAGGAGAAGATGGATGTTCCAGCTCAAGGAGAGAGAGAGAGACAATTTGCCCTTCCTCCACCTTTTTGTTCTATTCGGGACCTCAATGGATTGGATGATGCCCACGCACATTGGTGAGGGCAGATCTTCTTTACTCAGTCTACCAGTTCAAATGCTAATATCCACCAGAAATTCCTTCACAGATGAACTCAGGAATAATGCTTTGCCAGCTGTCTGCGTATCCCTTAGGCCAGTCAGGTTGACACATAAAATTAACCATCACACACGGTTCCTCTGATCGCTCATTTACCACCAACTCCCAACTCTTTAACAGCTGCTCCGAACGCCCTCCTAACTTCAAATGCTAGAGCAGCATGCCTTAGGTATTAAAGGGAGCACATCCTGCCCACTCCCACCTCCCCACTCCCTTAAGAAAATCGTGCCTCTTCCTCCCACTTCCAGTTAGGAAGCTGCTGTACTGCTGTCAACACAATTTCCCAAGCTGGAAACGCTTCTCCCCTCACCTCTCTCATCAAATCGGTCACTGTGTGCTTTCAATTCTCTCTTACGTCTGCTCTTGCCTCTACCACTGCTCCCTTGACCTCAGCTCATCTCTGACTTCGACAACAGAATCCTAACCATCCTCTTGGCCACTCGTCAAACCCACCTGCAAGAGGCAGTAACTCACTGTTACTGACTCTCTTCACAAGAAGGAAGGAAACTCCCAACAGGAATCCAGTAAGGTGTGGGCGTGAATGCTGCTTGCGGAATAGGGCCTGCCAGAGTTTCTTCTTTGAAGATGACAATCAAATATTTAAGTGCTGATATGTTTGTTGAGAAAAGAAAATCAACCGTAACACCTTATAAGCACATGCTCCATGGAAGGGAAGGAGTGTCGGTACACTTTAGATTCTGAGAGATCTCTGGGGGAGTTCTCTGATTTTGATGACTTTCAAGCCACAAGACCTCTCTGAGCTTTGAACGTCCCATCTGTAAATTCAGATGCTAATACTGCCCACTTGGCAGGGCTGTGGGAGGAAGCGTGACAGTGCGTGCAATGCACATCTCTGTCTGCCTGACAAGAGTGAATGACACGAGATTCCACCTTCTCTTCACACTGCCTAGTTAATTCCTCCTTATCCACACTCACGCTTCTCCTCAGCAATATCTGAGCGGAGCACGAGAGACTGGACAACCTCACCAATGTGCTAACCTTGAGGGGATTTGAAGGTAAGCAGCCTTTTCTTCTGTGTCCCTAGCCTGGGTGTCAGGCAAACGCTCCCACCGGCTGGCTGACATATGTGGCCGCTGCAGACTAATTTCTTCTGACACGTTGCCTTGAATGCACAGTCACAGAGCATGTGCTGAAGTGCTAAACACCCCCGAACTGTGCACTTTTCAATCTGTGAAAGCTTTTCGGTGAGTCCAGGCTTTTTTTCCTCGACCTGAGGCATCACAATAGAGAAGCACATGGACACTCCGTTGCGGCAATCTGGCATCCTGCAAACGCTCCAGAGCAGCAGCAGTACCTGGGCGTCCCTCTCAGCGAGCCAGACCCCAGCCAACAGCTGCTCCTCTGTGGAAGCTGTGGCCGCATTAATGAGCTTGCAGACAAAGAGCTGACTGTGCGGTCGGTGGCTTGGGGTCTGCGTGCAGGCCGGGGGCGGAGCGCAGGCTACACTCGAAAACCCTAGTCCCTCATTTCCAAAAATTGGTTTGGGGTCCAAATGAGCTAATATGTTTCCTGAGACTTCGATCTCGAAAAGGCTGGATCACGCCTCTGCCGTCTTGAATAATCACGAAAGCTAGCTCCCGGGTTATCTGGCACGGAGAGTTTATAGAGCGTTTTTACGCTTCGAACCTTACCATAACCCTAGGAAGGTATTATTTTACAGATGAGGAAATGGAGTCCCTGAATGGTTCAACAACATATACAGGTTCAGGTGGCTAATAAAAGGCAGGGCAGTGCGTGAAGCAAGCTCTGTGTGGCTCCAATGTCATGACTTTCTGAAGAATCATCACCAAACTTACTCTCAGCCCTTCCATTCATTGAGATGTCACTGCAACAGCTAAAAGGAAGCCTCTGGGGGCAGGAGCTTTCAAGGGAGCCAGCTTTTCTGTTAAGATTTTAAGTCCCTTATCCGCCAGCAAGTTAAGGGAAAACGCTAGGGCATCACAGACTTTTTCAAATTCTTACCATCACACCTAAAGGAAGTCACTCCTCTGACTTGCCTGTAGGGATACTGTAGGAACAATGCGTGAGGAAGACTCACGTAATACCCTACGCTACCAGCACGGGCGAGTAACCACTGAAAACAAAGTATACAACAGTTGTAGAAATCAAACCCCAAACGACTTCTTCTACCACTACTGCTGCTGCTGCTGCTACCATCACTAAAGTACTAATACAAATAAAACAGCAATGACAGAAACACTCCTACTAACAGGTAGCATGTCCTTAGCCTCTGCCATGTGATAAAGCTTAGGGTTTACATTCATTGCTGAATTCTCTCAATAATCCATCATGGAGGTATTTCTATCCTCTTTCTACAGATGAGGATTCTGAGGTCTAGAGAGGTCACAGAGCTTGTGCACGGCAAAATGAGGCTAGATGCTCAGGCCTCTTGACCCCAAGGCTGTGCTATCTCCACCGGCCCATGTCTGCCTTCTCTAAAGGATAGGCAGTCACCAGATGAGTGAACAGTGTCCAGGAGGTTAGGACACACCCGTAGCACAGTCTGGCCAAGGCTAGAAAAGACTAATAGGTACACAGCGGTTGCTTCCAAGCATTCAATGGTAACCATTATTCCTAGGCATCCAGAATATGGGTTTTCATCACCTACATTTCACCTTCTGTCTGGTTGTCAAGAAATAACAGACAAAAGGATGGGTTCTAAAAGGAAGAGGAACCTGGCTTCAGGTGTGAGTTCAATTGAACCCTCTGACAAGTGTTTTAAAAGTACGTGTGTGTGCACACCCCGCAACATCTGTGTCACACGGGTGGAGGATGAGAGCAGAGAGCGGTGGGCTGATTACGTGTCCTTTTCTCCCTCCTGACAGCTATGAAACTACAAGTGGATAGATTATAGTTGAAGATAAAAATAGGCATTATACTGCCACTTTCTCTTCCCAGCTTTTGAGTCGCTCCAGCTTGAAAGCATATTGTAGCATTTTATTGTAGTCTGGGCTCGTGTGGCTTCTCCTGTTTGTGATTCCTTTTTGGAAAACTAGAAACACTCCCTCTCCACGGAGAAATGAACTCAAGTGAGTGAGAGTGAAAGAGAGGCGGCTGTGTGTGTGTGTGTGTGTGTGTGTGTGTGTGTATCCTTGTGTCCCTCCCAGCGCCTCTAAGAGAAGCGAGAAGGCAGAGTGTGAATCTGAATAGAGCGGAAATTGGGAAATGACACAGCTGTTTTTGTTTAAATGTAACCATTTTTAGAATTTCAGGATGCACTAAGCTTCCAAACTAGGCAGCCCAGTCAACCTTAGCTGGGGATGGAGAGTGATGCAAATGCATCGGACTTACCATCCCAAGGTCTACAGGAGATCCTGGCACTGCAGGTCACTCGGTGCAATACACGTTTGGCACCCTCTCTGGTTATTAAACAGAACTCTACAAGTAGTGGCATGTCAGGTCTCATCCCACACCCCTTCCATTTCCACTTGTCATCTCCATTCTTTCTCCTGAATTTTTATCTTGGGGTCACTTGAAACACAGCAAAGTACTTGAGTGTTTCTCAGAGAAGGTTCCCTGAACCACGGCACCCCCAGTCACTGTGGGTGTGCTTTATCATACCCATTCCCGCACCCACACAGGTCTACTGGATTTGAATCTGTCAGGAATATGAATTCTAACAAGCTCCCCCCCACCCAGGTTATTCTCACAAACACTACGCTTTTCAAATTCCTGGTAAAGTGGCAAAGAAAAAGGACTTTAGTGTTGCCCTTACCTAGTCTTAAGACAGGATCCGCCACTTTAAACCTGGGGAAAAAGAAAACAAGACACTCAGAGATGCTATTTATTCCCAAAGCGGACCCAGTTGACCTGGGTCAACTCACAGTTTCTCTAGGTTCTGTACATTTATCTGCAAAAGGGGAATGATAATGGTACCTAGTATATGGGGTTGTTGTGAGAATTGAGAAAACATATGTATTATTCTACGACAGTGGTTCTCAGCTGGGATTGGAGTGATTTCGTCCACCAGGGGAACGTTTTTGGTTGTCTCATGTGGGGTTTTGGGGTGGGGTACTATTATCATCTAGAATAACAAACAGGGACACTACTAGACATCCAATAAGCACAGGGCAGCCCCCAACGATAATGAATTATCATCCCCAGATGTCAATGGTTGACATTTTGAAAAGCCCAGGCATGGAGCCCAGCACATCACGCCTGGCTTCGAATCCGGTGTGCCACCAGTCCAGCTGTGCAAGATGGGGTAGGTTGCTCAGTTATTTGGAATTTTGATTTCTCCATCTGTAAAATAAGGATAAAAATACCTGCCTCACAAGGTCAGTGAGGATGCCATGAAGTAACATACAAAACATATCTGGTATATTTGCAGTAGCGTCCTTTCTCCTATTTCCTCATGCTGGCCTGACTTAAAAGGGACTGATTCCCACATTCAGAAGAAGCAAGGAAGCCTGAGGCTTCCTCACCTTTAATTTGTCAAGTGAGGTGCTTTGTGAGTTGCCTCCAGGCAGGGCACAGATGGCCCGTCATCTGAGCGTGCATGCATGGCCAGGCCCTGTTACTGAGGTTAGGAATTACAGGGCCCCCTGCCAGGTCAAGGCTCCAGGACAGTCCCACAGACAGCCACAGGCTGCAATGCTTGCCCTGAATGCACTATTAATCCCATGATGCTATTTTAAAATAATGGAGAACCAGTTTATTGGGAAAGGACAATACAAAACCTCAAAATAAATCCAGCTAACAAGATGAAGTTTCTGATCTGGAGAGAACAGAAACGCTGCCCTCTTTAACATTTAGGCCATTGGATCTAGAATGCCTCCGCAAATTACTCTCAACTACTCAATTATCTAGATGAATGGAAGACAGCAGAGGTATGCAACGATTTAGATTTTACATAGAATGCAAAGAGCCTCGAGGGTATGCAAGATTTAGATGTATACATCCGACCTGGCTGGTGTTTCTGGGTGCCCCACCCCAGATACTCTCACCTCAAGCTTGCTCTACTGTCAGTGGGTAGGGGAGGCTTGGAATTTCACTACTCTGAAGGCAACTTTAACACACAACAATCACAAACATAGGACAGGGCTGGGTTGTTATATTGCTAACTTGCATGAGCAGGAGAGAGAGACACAGAGACCCCACCCTAGCCAATTTCTCTGTAGGTCTCAAGGTCACTCAAGTCAACTTCATCCCCCCTCTTCCTCTCTCCAGCACAATCAATCCTAACCGATCCCTGGTCAATTGAACACACATTTTCCTGTCCACCTACCGTGCTCAAAGCACAAAATGACCAAAGGCATGGTTCACGCCCTCCAGGAGTGGTAAAGATAAAGAAAAAAAGATCACTCCCCTCCCAGAAAATTAAGGGCTGCCGTGCCATGCCCTAAGATACAAACCAGAATCTGGCTTCTCACTCTGCTGCTTGAACCCAGTCACCTGTCTTCCTGCTGGGATGGGGTGGGAAGGGAGCAGCTGAAGGGCTCTGCGCTAGGATTTTTCCTCCAGATCGAGATGGAAACAAGCAAACACCACACAACTGGTACCACAGCATGGAGCCTGCGATCAAGTCAGCAGGCAGGTGCCGCCTTGCTCTCCTGCATCGCCATCACGCACAGCTGCATCGGCTTGTACTTCTCATTCCGGTCAAACCAACTATAACTGCATCCTGCTCATCAGGAAGTCTTCCGTTAAGGAAAGTCTGACTGATGCCTGCAGAGCGCCAAGTCCAGAGAAGCTCTGGACCCCCAGACAGCGCTGGGCCCGGGGGATTCAGCCCCCGGTCACTGATCCTGCCACACAAATGGAAAGCTGTGTCTGTATAAAAAGGCTCCTGCCTGGGGCTCCTTACTGTCATCTTCTACTCTCCATCTGCTCCTTAAGACAGCCCTTGAGGGATGGAAGTAGCATCTTCATTTTATAGTGGAACAAACTGAGGCTCAGAGAACAGGAAAGGGCCTCTTCCCCCAAAGGCCTCATCAGCCACAAACTTCACTTTACATTGAAATATGTACAAGGGGTGAAGAAAGAATCTCATCTTGTTACTCTCTTGCTTAAAACCTTCTAAAAGCTTTCCCATGGCCTGAGGCAGTACTTCTCAACCCTGGCTACACATTGGCAATACCAGGAAATTGCAGAAATGCCTATGTCCTGGCCCCAACCCAGACCAAGTAAGCCAGAATCGATGAGGGTGGAATTCAGGCTCCGCATTGGAGGGTTTTCTTTTATTTAAAGCTGTTGAGGGATTCTCAAATGCAGTCAAGATGAAGCACTGCTGCCCTAAGGGATTCGTGTCAAGCTCCTTGACTTCCCTTGCCAGGTCTGTGCAGCCAGGCCCTCACTTATCTCTTTAGCCTCATCTCTTACCCCTCTCTCTCCCATCTCACCCTCAGTGCTTCATCCATCTGAGGCCAGTGTGGGCTTCTGCAGAGGATTACACATGCACACCTCTTTGCTTCAGTGCCCCACCATTTCCCTAGAATGCCCCTCCCTCTCTCTTCACCTGACTAATTTCTATTTTTTCTTTGAGATTGAGCTCAGCACAGCCTCCTCCAGGAAGGAAGCTTTCCCTGACACCACCTGGTGATCCTCCCAGGCACTTTACGTGAGCAAACCATATCACTCGAAGAGATCACGATTGATCTTTGCTTGTCTCCTCCCTCACTGTAGTGAGGGCCTCGACCAGGTCACATCCTACACACCTTCTCAGCCTCAGGACACAGCACCAGAGCACTTATAAAGTCTGCTGGCCTAGAAGAATTAAAAGCACAGACTCACAGACCTACTTGTGCACCTATGTTCATAACAGCATTATTCACAATAGCCAAAAGGGGGAAATGACCCAATTTCCATCAACAGATGAGTGAATAAACAGAACATGTAATGGAACATTATTCAGCCTTAAAGAGGGAGAAAATTCTGACACATGCTCTAACATGGATGAACCTTAAAAACATTAATGCTAAGTGAAATAAGCCAGACACAAAAGAGCAAATATTATATGATTCTACTTATATGAAGTACCTAGAATAGGCAAACTCAGAAAGTATAATAGAGGTTACCAGGGGCTGGGAAGAAGAGGGGAATGGGGAGTTACTGTTTAATGAATACAGAATTTCTATTTGGGATGACAGAAAAGTTCTGGAAATGCACAGTGGTGATGGTTGCACAACATCATGATTGTACTTCATGTCATGAAATTGTACATTTAAGAATGGCTGAGGGCTTCCCTGGTGGCACAGTGGTTGAGAGTCCACCTGCCGATGCAGGGGACACGGGTTCGTGCCCCGGTCCGGGAAGATCCCACATGCCGCGGAGCAGCTGGGCCCGTGAGCCATGGCCGCTGAGCCTGCGCGTCCGGAGCCTGTGCTCTGCAAAGGGAGAGGACACAACAGTGAGAGGCCCACGTACCGCAAAAAATAAAAAAAAAAAAAGAATGGCTGAAATGGTAAGTTTATGTTATGTATACTTTACCACAATAAAAAAAAAAATCACTCACAAAAAGTTTGTTCAATAAATAAATCACACTGCACTTAAAAGAGATCTAAAGCCCCACCCCTGGCCTCTTGGACCCTATGTGATCAGGCCTCAGCTTTCCACTCTGATCTTATTTCCCTCCAGCCCTTTCCCCATAATCATTCTACTCTGACCAAACTGATCTCCTTTTTTATGCAAATACACCAGACTTGTTCCCTCAAGTTCACTGCAATTGCTTTCCATGAGGACTCCATTTCAAATTGCTAAACCTACCCCCACCACTCAAATTACTCTCTGTATTAGTTAAAAATAATACCAACTGATGTAACAGATAAAACCCAGAACCTCCAGGGTTTAGAACAGTCCTAAACTGTATGTAACAGAATCATCTGGAGGGCTTGTTAAAACCCAGACAGCAGGGCCCACCCCTCCAAGTTTCTGATTCAGTATGTTTAGGGCAGAGCCCAAGGATTTGCATTTATATCATGGTCCCAAGTGATGCTGATGCTATTGGTCAAAGCACCCTACTCTGAGAACCACAGGTTTAACAAAATTAAAGTTTATTTCTCACCCACGTAACTATAAAATGCAGGCATGCCTAGTAGGGCAGCTTTCCTCCATGCAGTGATCCCATCCTGTGGTTCCACTATTTTTAACAAAGGATGCCCAAGGTTGTCCTGGGAGTTGTCTCCATCCAAGCCAGCCAAAATGGAAAAGAGCCCAGAGGTCTGCAAGTAGGAAGCTTTTATGGGTCAGGGCTGGAAGTGGCACACATCACTTCTTCCCACATTTCAACAGCCAGAATTCAGTCAAATGGTCACAGCTGAACTGCAAGGAAATTGGGGAAATACAGTCTATCTTTGGGTCCATGTGGAAGAGTAAATGGGATTGGGGATCAGCCTTATCCAGTGATCTCTTATGCTACCATATTTGTCTTCCTAGCCTTATCTCTACCTGATATTATATCACGTATTTATTTCCTTACCTTTTCATTGCCTTCCAGCACTAGGATGTAAGCTTCACGCGGGCAGGAGCTCTGTCTTGTCCACCACCGTGTCTTCAGTACCTAGCACAGTGCTTGGCACAAAGAAGTCACCAATAATTATTTCTTGAAGTACTAAATGCATTTTTCACAGGATACTCTGTCTGATGATCTCCTGTTTACCTTTTCTGTGAGATGTTCCTGAAGCCACATTCCTTTTCTTGCTTATGTCGCTGGGCCCCTGCCATCACAGCAGGCCTATGTTTATGCCAACAGATAGGACCAGTTTTTCCAATAACACTAGGGACATTGTGATGCCCTCTCAACTGCTCTGTCCTAAGCATGGCGGTCATGCTATCTTCCATCCCCAATGTCCCTTTCTAGTTTATCCCAGTGGCTTTCTTTGTAAAGGAGAATAAAAAGCCCAAAGGATGTTCATTCCCAGCCAGGCTGAAGACCCATGAGCTGGTCTAGCACAAAAGACACTCTAAACAGGGTAATGATAACTAAGACAAACAGCTACCCTGTGGGATTTGGACGAGAGGAGTTTGGAAAGTCATCAGCAAGAAATAAAAGAGTAAATATACAGAGTGAAGCCAGCCCACCGTGACAGTGAAGTGGGGAGAGTCCAGAGGGAAAGAGTAACTGCCTTGGATTCTCACAGTCTTCCTGTTTCATTTGCAGGATATCCTTAAAATAAACTCATTTTTTTAAGAGGGTCTAAATGAATCCCTGTTCCCCATTTGGTTATGAGCCTGACTAACTCAAGCCAGCACCTGTTGGCAAAATGGCCAACAGCTCAGTAAGGTGGCTCACTGAGTGGCTGTCACGTTCATGTGCCACTTAAATAGCTCAACAAAGTGACCTGCCCCACCCAGAGATGGCATCTCAGACTGTAACTATAAACAAGTTCAGGCCTCCTCTCCTCACACTAAGAACACTGCAGCAGTTTCTTCACCCCCCCGCTTGGCTCTTCTGCACCAGGCCACCAGATCCATCTTTCAAAAAGCACCACCTTCATGCTGTCACTTTCCTGCTCCAAACCCTCCACAGACTACAGAACTGATACTTAATTTGCATGCCTGTGATAGAAATTCTCACAGGGGCTGCATGTCCATTGTCTCACTTAATCCTCACAACCACCATGCAATTAGGACCTACCATCTTTATTTTGCAGCTCTGGTGACTGGGTCATGTAAAGATTAAATAAATTACCCACCAACCTGAAGCTAAGAACCAGCAGAGTCAAAGGAGAACCCCAGGTGTGCCTGTTTCTAAAGTATCTCCTGTTTACACTACACATTCATTCATTCATTCACTGATTCATTCAAACATATGTTGAGTGTCAACCATGTGCCAAGAATTGTGCTAGGTACAAGGATGACAATGGATCATTCGCGGGAAGACAACTTTAAGAGTACTATGAGCAGAGTTCCCTGTGCTATACAGTAAGGAACTCTGTTCAATGTTCTGTAATAACCTAAATGGGAAAAGAATTTGAAAATGAATAGATACATGTATATGTATAACTGAATTACTCTGCTGTACACTTGAAACTAACACAACATTGTTAATCAACTATACTCCAATGTAAATTTTAAAAAAAATTTTTTAAAAAAAGAAACTTCTTCATAGCACAGGGAACTCTATTCAATACTCTGTAATGACCTATATGAGGACAGAATCTAAAAAAGAGTGGATATATGTATATGTATAACTGATTCACTTTGCTGTACAGCAGAAACTAACACAACATTGTAAATCAACTATACTCCAATAAAAATTAATTTTAAAAATATCAAAAAAAAGACTGCTATGAGACAATGAAGCATGTTCCGTATTGGATGGGGAACATGGATGCTTAGAAAGTGGGCTGCAGGAGCTCCACACCCAGCCTCACTGGTCAGGGAAGCCTTCCCTGAGGCAGTGTCACTTGAGTTGAGACCTGAAGGATGAACAGGAGTTAACAACCTGCTTTTCTTTAGGGAAAGTTATCCTGTGGCAAAGGGGCTGCCTAGTGCCTCATCTCTCACTGTGACTCTCCCAAACTGATGGGCTGCCAGGGAAGAGGGGAGAAGGAGGATGGAAGGGATAAAAAGAGAAACCAGAAAACCCTACTGTCAAATGATATTATCAAATATATTTTGTATTTTAACAACTCCTAACCTTTGGGTTTACAACTGTCCCTGTGTAATTTGAAACTAAAATCTATTTCCTCACCCAGCAGCATCTCTCCCCGCCCCCCCCAACAGAGATGCACCACTCTCACTGCTGGTCCATTGGCAGTGCTAATTATGTTCTCCATAACACATTCCTGATTGCATAGAATTAAATAAACGTGTGGAGGTGACAGAACAAAACGAAATCTATGACTTACTTGACAGACTGATCAGTTTGTTGGGCACAGGGTGAAAACAGCAAATGTTACACATGCAGATTAGGATAAAAGGCCCAATAAAGTCACATGTTTTTAAAGATAAATACAATCAAACTGAAATAATTTTTGCAGTTTCTTCTATTATAAATGTGATCTGAACACACTGTCTTCCTGTTTTTCAGCCTTTCACAGGCTTCTGATTTACCTTCTATTTAAGATTCCACTAAATTAATAGAGAAAACTATTTCGATAGACTATTCAATTTCGCATTTGCAATTTGAAGGTTGCTTCACAATCATAACTTCTACAATAGAGTGAAAGTAGAAGGTAGAAACACTTTTACTCTGTAAGAGCTTTACCAAGTAGGGAAGGGACAAAGATGAAAAAACAAATTCTTTATAAGGAGCCGAAATAGAAAATCTAGGTGAATAAGCCAGACGATAAACCCAAACTGAATTAGTTGAATTTCATAAAGGAATAAATAGTTGTGACAATGGGATGTCCCCAAACCAGAAAACCCAACTTGTGGTTGGGTGATGACCCCCTTAAAAAGTGAAAGTCTTTGTTAACTATAGACATATGCATGTACACTGTAGCTAGGTGTTCACCAAACCTTACTTCCTTTTTTCCTGGCACCACCTTCCCTCCTCCCATTCCCAGCCCCCGCCCTGCAACTGATCAAGTGCAGAACTGAAACTGGGTTCTGGCCAATAATCAATGTGAATGGCATTCCTACAGGAGTCTGGGACCAGGAATGACTGCGATGAGCACAGTCATCCCAACCCTGCACACACATCTGCTCTGACCCACGTTAGACTAAATGTGAGGGAGCAAATGCACGAAGGGACTGAGCTTTGGTGTGTTTTTACAGCAGTGGACCAACCTTAAGTGATACCCACCAGGGGGTGAAAGGAAACAGGGTCCTCCAGAGTAGACTATGATTTTATAGGCCATGAGTGGGTGAGCTGCAGATGTCCTAAATGGTTTCACTAGACACTGATAATGTCCTTCATGTATCAGTGTCTACAGTAAAGTCCCAGACCCCTAATATTGGCACCTCACTCTCCATGGCGTCATTCCTGCCTACCTCCTTAACTTCAGCTTCAACCGCCCGCCATCTATCCTCTGTTAGAACCATCCTGCCTTACACGGGTATCCAGAACAACCTCCAGCCGTACGCCTTTATGCATAATCTCCCGTCTTAAGGCCTGCCCTTCCCCTTTTATCTGCCTCCAAAATCCATAATCATCCTTTCAAGCGAAGTCTGAAACCTGGTCTCCCTAGGAAACGTGCTTCTTAAGCTGGGATACAGTAAGCCTTGATCAATGTTGCTCAATACTGTTACACGTGGGGGAGTCCAGGTGTGCTCTGGAGTAGCGAAGGGGAGATGGGGAGAAAACGTGCTCAAACAATGGACGTTGCCCCCCCGCACAGTTTTCATCAAGAAGGCCCAGGGATTCAACCCTGGTAAGTTACTGGTTCCTTGCCATGCGACACTCAGTCTCTCCTTTGCTCAACGCAGCCACCAGGAGGGGAACGGCGTGGGAAGATAGGAGTAATTTTCATCTTTATTCTCATTTGCCTTTGTCCATTTTCTCACCGCCCCCTTCCTTTCATTTGTATTTTGTCTTAGCTGCCAATTTGGGGCTTAATTGGTAGAATACAGAGAAGCTGAAGTAAAACAAAGCTCAGTAGAATATAAAGAGAAAAGGAACAAAAAAAAAAAAAAAAAAAGGGAAGGCATGAATGGCAGCCTCGATTCTAACCATAATCAGAGAAGCAGGTTGGTGTGGCACCGGAACATACATGACCTCCCAGTGCAGGAGACTCACGGTTCATTTACTGCTCCATTTTCTCACAGCACAGATAATTTACCTGTGTGATGATTGCATCCTGCCCCCGGGCTCTCAGCAACTCTTCCCTACCTACCGTTGTATCTTGAATTTGGGAAATGTGTCTGCATTCAGACAAAATGCTGAAGATAACTTGGGAGGCAAGGAAATCTCATTTCCCCTCCAACGCAGTGGCAGACTTGGGTTCAATCTATGAAAGTCAATTGGTAGATCTGTGCAAGTCTTCTAATTAGAGATATTCAGATAGCGGGCACAGGTTCCATTTGTATTCCAGGTTTAAAAAAAAAAAACAAATCAATGTCCACACACAGGAAAAACACTGAGCACTTATTCTGAAGCCACAAATTGCAGTAGGGCCCTGCACAGAAAACCAGAGGGGCTGTAAGTCAGTGCAAAACTACCACCTCATGAAGAAGAATGATTAGAAGGAATGGGCAGAACTTTCACCTCCAGGTCACAAGCTCAAAATGCAGCCCAGCCCTGCCTGTATGATGTTTATAAACCACTGACAGTCCATGTGAAAAGAGCTGGCTCAAAGACTGTATTTTTACCAGAAATGATTGTTCAGCTGAGAGGCTGAAAAACAGTAGGATCCCCCAAATGAACTCACCTACTCAGCTCCTAAAGGTGTATTCCAGCTGGCACGGCAGAGTCAAATTGCACACTGCATAAAGTTCATTTCCAGAGTTTCCTGAGCCAGCTCTGTGGCAGCGGACCCTGGAAAGGTGAGACTTCCAGACGGGAATTCAGTTCACAGTGCTCTGCTCACCTCTGGACTTTCAGTCACGGAGTCAGAAACAGGGAACAGAAAACACAAAGGCAAGGCTTAATCTCCTTCCTCTGGGCTCCCAGGGCTCAAATTCCTCTGGAGTACCAAGTCTAACTAGCACCTACAAACTAGATCTAAAGGTGAAGGATGATCGAATAATTTTTAAGCTTTGTTTAAATAAGAAACTAATATTTATTAAACCATAACCATGTGACAGGCACTCTCTGAAGTGCTTTCCTAGACTTTATTCATGCTACAAACATTGAATTCAGAGCCACTAAGCAAAAGAACAAAAATTAAAAATTGGGATTCATGGATGAGGGAATAGACTCCTTGATGCAAAGGAATCCGCAGGCATCTTTACTCCTAAAGGTTGTGTGGCAATTTTTACCTCTGTCTCACTCCAAAGAGCTTTCTAGGAAACTGAGAGTTAGGTGGTATCACCATCACTATCATCCCCTTTTTACAGAGTGGAGACTAGGCTGAAAGAATAGAAGTACAATGCCCAAGATCACACAGCTAGAAAGTGGAAGAGCCCGTAACTCAACACAGACATCAAGCCACTGCTTTCTGCTTTATAACATGCCACCTCTTACTATGGTTCAGAAATGCTTTCTCCTAGCCCAGGTTTACCCAGGAGCTAGGCTACACCAAAATGGAGATAGGAGGATACCTGGTACTGTTCTAAAAACCAGAGTAAAAGAAAAAATAGCCTCTTTTTTTCCCTTCAGTATGACAACCTGAATCACCCAAACTGGGCAGCGCTAGCTCTGGGAATACCAAGTCCTCTTGCCCTAAGACTTAGTTTTCATGTGGGATTAAAAATAATTAGTAGGGCTTCCCTGGTGGCACAGTGGTTGAGAGTCCGCCTGCCGATGCAGGGGACACGGGTTCGTACCCCGGTCCGGGAAGATCCCACATGCCGTGGGGCGGCTGGGCCCGTGAGCCATGGCCGCTGAGCCTGCGCGTCCGGAGCCTGTGCTCCGCAACAGAAGAGGCCACAGCGGTGAGAGGCCCACGTATCACCAAAAAAAAAAGAAAAAAAATAATTAGCAAACATTTCACAATATACAAAGCATAATCAGAACACTGCAATCTTGCTATGTGAGTGGCCAAGAAGAAATGTCCTTTCCTTTTGAGAAAAGTCCAAGGAAGAGAAGCTGTGTGGCAGGGTGGAGAGGGCCTAGCAGCTGCATCAAGCACATCTCAGATTGAATCCTGAATCCACCGCCCCTGGCTGGTTCCCCAAGTCTGGGCATATTAACAACGGTGTCCACAAGTGTGGATGGGTGGTGATAAAGCCCACTTTGCAAGATTGTTGACCAAATGCCTGAAACGCACTGAGAAGCATCCCAGGACATGGGGAGAACTCAGTAACTGGATACCATGATCTTTTTGCTAGTTACTGGTCCTAAGCCTCTGGGAATTGCTATGCAGCAGAAGAGCAATTTTACAGCACGTTCCACGGAATTCCCTATTCTAACTACCCAGAAGCAGCACAGTGCTCATCTCTTGAGGCACACACACCCCTGTTGCCTCTGAGCATTCACTCAGTGTGCATTTCCAGGGCCAACCATAAAGGCTAAAATACCCTCAGAAGTCACAGAGACGCTGTTTTTTATAGAGTGTGATTCCCTGACCCAAATCAGTCTTTTTGCCTTTGAATCAGTTTATGCTACCAGTTATTTAGCAGATTGATTGCTGCTATGGCAACTGCACATCCCTCCGCACAGACACAGCAGAAGTCCTTGATACAATCCTGGCTTAGTCTCTCTGGCTGCATTCAGTCCATGCCAAAAATTAGAGAATATTGGGAAAATTAACTGCCTTCTGCACTATAGGCACTGGGGCTGCATTGTGGTGCAAAGAACAAATGAAGCCTGATGTGTGTCCTTCTTGCCCAGCAGCCCACAAGGAGGGAGAACTAGAGTCCCCAGCCGGGCTCTGGCCACACTGCTCACCTTTGGTTTCCACGGTTTCTGCCAAGTATCAATGCAAGATGTACCCAGAGACTGCAAAGGCCATTTGGCAGTGCTGTGGCCTCTCAGGAAAGCTTTCCACTTACGGTAGGAAAAGAACTCGCTTCTCCTTGTGTCATAAAGAGCTGTATACAGATTCTAAGTACCACTTCCTAGCTGCATGATCCTGGGCAAATCCCTTAAACCCTAAAACCTCAGTTTCCTCAACTATGACAAGAAATTAAGAATAGTCTCTCGGGCTTCCCTGGTGGCGCAGTGGTTGAGAGTCCACCTGCCGATGCAGAGGACACGGGTTCGTACCCCGGTCCGGGAGGATCCCACATGCCGCAGAGCGGCTGGGCCCGTGAGCCATGGCCGCTGGACCTGCACGTCTGGAGCCTGTGCTCCACAACGGGAGAGGCCACAACAGTGAGAGGCCTGCGTACCCTGGCTGTTACCAATATGGTATGAAACCACAACGCTGGCACCAGATGGACTCTCATAGCCCTCAGTTCATTCTTCCTTCTTATCTTCCCTCTTTGGTTTTCTTTAATTTTTTTTAATCTGTTCTGCCTGATGAGCAAGAGAGATGATTAGGCTCATTAGGAGCTGGTTGTACGCAGTCCTCTAAACATTTCTGATTTGAAAGCTTGAGCCTCTAGTTCCGCTAAGTGTGTCAAATTTTCTTTACGATATAGATCAGTGTTTTAGGCTAGTTCCACCTCCAAAGGACAGGCTGGTTCCTCCAAGCGAGGTTTGCTCTGTCCTGTTCTGTCACCTCCAGTGTCTCCCCTCATCCACCAGATCAACCTTCTTTAAAAATGGCAATCTGTCAGCATGAATGAAGCTGGAAAGCTGGCGTGTAAATATGGAACGGTACCCTTCCCTAAAAGAGCCCCTCATCTCACAGATTGTGAGAGTGGCTGAGGCTGCGATCTCTGTTTGCTGAGGAGCCCATGTTATTAGCAGCCATGCTATTTCTGTATCTGGAGGTGCCTGGAGCACTTACAGAAATTCTTTTAACCCATATGTTGTTTTTATGTTTTAACACTCTGTATGTATATGTAATTTGCATAAATACAAAAATAAATAGCTGTCCGGTGTTTCTCTGAAGGTTGTAAACTCCAAAGAAAGAGGTAGCAATCTTCCCACATATTGGCCTTAATGACACAGCCCTTGATATGCAGCGATCAGTAATGTGGCCCAAACTGACTTTGAGATTTAATACTTAATAATTTGTGATGCGAATATTCTCACTTTATGTCCTTTCTATCAGCAAGGATGAGAAAGAATGGTGCAATCAGATGTAAGACCAGAAGCATCACCACATCATAAACCAATACCACTTTCATCAGCTCCCTCTGAAGATCCCAGGATTCAGGGCCAGTTTGTGATAAAACAGTTCATATAAAGCTTTGCTTTGTTCACAGGGTATAAGCAGAGACAACTGGTATCCTGGGACAACAACATAAAGTCAGAGAGACCTGGGTTCTGGATTCTAAGCCTTTCTAAGTCTCAGGTTCATCTTTTTTAGAACTGATAACATGTGTATTATCTACCCGGCAAGGCTAAGGGTGCAAACTCTGCAGTTAAGAGTATCTGGGTTGGACTCCTGAGCCGACCTCTGAGAGCCAAGTGACCCTGAACAAAGTGTCTTTACCTCTCTACACTCCAGGCTCCTCGTCGGAGGATTGGAGGTGATCCCAGTCCTACCTCACAGAGCTACTGTGAAGGTGAATTCCGACGACCTACGTGAAGTGCTTAGCGCAGGCCTGACGCACAGGAGAGTTCAATAAATGTAGCTCACAGGAGTCACCGCAGGAGGAGTGAATGACATACAGCCATAAGAAGCCTGGCTCTTAGTAGGCTTTTTAAAAAATGGAAACTTCAAACAACTGAAAATTGTGCCGTCAAGAACATTCCCCAGATACCACTGCAAACCTCTTTAGAATCAAAAAGTTGGATAGGCTCCCATTATGATAAGAAAGGAACCCTCTTATAAATCCATCTTCTCATTGAAATTGTTTCAGCATTCAGAGCAGGAAGGGGAGAGCAGGGCCTGGCCTGTGTGCAGCCTCTCTGTTCAGAAATGATCCTGTCGGATCACACAAACCAGGGGCTTTCTGCACACTCCTCAGCCCTGGGAAGGCACGATTACTGGCTGCCACCAAGGATGGGGAAGAGAGGAAACAAAAGGCCAATTTTTTTTTTTTTTTTTTTTCAAAAGGCCAATTTTTAAATGAATCGGTGTAACAGGACAGTGACCCCAAACTCCTCCCCTCAAACCCCATCAACTGACAAGTTGACCAACCACCCCCTGAGAGCAATGGGGAAGTTTACTTTAACAAAGGGGTCATTTCTGAGGCCAGTAAGGCAGTTCCAAGAGGTAAGGCAATAAATAAAAGAATGATTTTCATAGACACCTAGCATAGATCAGATTGCTGGTCATGCTTTTTGTTTTGTTTTGTTTCTTCAAAGATACACCCACACACCTTTGGCAGTGTAATCCTCAAATGACTAGATGTTACTTCTAAGCTGCAAGACCTCAGGCGCTACCTGTCCTCACCCACACCCAACTGTCTACCATCTTCGCCACCAAACATACCCCTGAAGACAAAAATGGCCCTTCAGTCCCTGAGTCATTTAAACTGAGAAACCAGTTGAAGTGCTATTCCCAAAATAAAACAGAAACATGGCCACTGGCATGAAATATTTACAGCTGTGAGATGAAAAAAAAAAAAAAAAGCGTCCCTTGACCTGGTAGGCAGGGGAATGATGCAGTTACACAAACAGGAGAGAAGCGCTTTACCCCAACACTGTTCTCTCTTCTGGAATGCCAACGTGCAGCTGTCACGTAAGCTAGACCCAGGAGTTGTCTTCAGCTGCTTCCTTCCCTCCCCACTATATCCAATCACTGACTTGGTTCCATCTAGTCCATGACTAGACTCCATCTCAGGTGTCTGTGCCCTGCTTGCCTATGGGATGCCCTCCACAGTTCAGTGCCTCGTGTCTCACCGCCGACTGACACAGCCACCTCCCTCACTGGTCTTCCTCCATCCTCCATCTCCCTCTCTGCAATGGCTTCTCACGCTGCAACAAAGTCGCTTCAAAGGTCCTTCAAGATCAAGCCCCTACCTACATCTCCAGTTTTATCCTTTGCCCAGCCTCGAACCCCCTCCCAGCCCACCATGCCCTATTCCTCCTGAAATACGTCGTATGTGTGTGTACTTTCATGCTGTGGGGCACGCTTTTCTCTCTGCACGGTTATCTCAGTCCTGACACACCCTCCTCCTCATCCTTCAATGCTCAGCTTTTCTTTTCTTTATCACTTCTGGACTCCCCCAGTTAGGTTAGTGGCTCCCTACACTGCGCTCACTTTGCCCGTTTATGCACTTTCATTATAGCACGTTTCAGACTGTGTGGCAATCGTTTATACATCCACTCCTGTTCTTTGTTCTTTATGTGATGGTCAGTCAGGAGAGGCTCAGGAAAACTAAGGTGATTATACTTACAAGACCCAGAAACAGGAGGCACCATGTGCTGCACAGGGTCTCAGGCGGGAGCACTGGGTGTCAGTCAGGAGGCAGAAGACAGGAGGAAGGAAAAGTCTAGAACAGAGTCTTAACTGGGGGTTTCCTCAAGAAAGGCAAGGCAGGGAAAACATTTTAGGATTGGCTACTTTGAACAGTATCTTCAGGCTTTAAGCTATACGGCAGTCCCTAGCTGTCTGGTAGGGAGCTCTGGGATGATTAGGGTAGGAGAATATTGCATCCTGGGTGTCCAGGTCAGATGGAGGAGGTATGGCTCTGGACTGGTTAGCCTGCTTTATCAAAGGCATGTTCCCGGCTGAGCCCTTTGCTATCTCTAAGAATTGGCTAGTCCCTGAAGGGCCAGTCTCTCTCCAGCCAGAAGGGTTTTTAA